TTTTTTTTAGATTCTTTGGATGAAATGCGTCATCCAAAGGAAAGATTAAGGATTTCCAATCCTGCTAGTGTCCTCATTGTTGGCATCCTTTGTAAGTATTCTTATTTAAAGAAAAATTTTAGAAATTCTAGATTAATAATAATAATAACATCAACAACAACAACAATAATAATATTTTTATTATTTTAGACTGTCTTACGATTCTTGCTTTAATAATAACGGTGCCTGAGGATTTCAAGGATTATTACGATGATCCTGTAACTATGAGTGCAAAATTAGGAAAAGTAATTAATTCGGAAGTTGGAATATCAATCTTAATTGCAATTTCTTGTTTCGGTGCAGTAGGTTCTGGTATATGGGGTAATTCAAGGCTCATAGCTTCTGTGGCCAAAGCTAGATTTATCCCAGCATTCTCTCCAGTTTTAGAAAAATTTGACGAAAAATGGTTTACTCCATTCAATGCTTTAATTTTTCAATGGTGCTATTTAACCGTTATAATTATAATTTGCCTTCCATTGGGTAAACCCTACGATGTACTTGTAAACACGGCTCAAAATACTAACATTATTTTTTATTTTTTGTGTGCAATAGGACTATTAGTAAGTTTTTATTTTATTGTTTATTACAATATAATAATCATAAATCTCATAATATATTTATTTAAAGGTTTTACGTAAAACTGAACCAGAACGACCTCGTCCATTCAGAATCGATATAACTTGGGTTTACTTTTTTATACTTTTTTCACTAGCCATCTTTGTTGGAACATTCTTTCCCAGACCCGAAACCAAAAATTATATTGAAAGTTTTAAATATATACTTTCTTATATTGTTATTATATTGGGGTTAATATGTTGGTATTTAATTTACCGTCCAAGGAGAAACTCGAATGAAACCCCTCCAGAAATGTCAAATGTTGTAACGAGTTAATTGTAAAATATTCTTTGAGATTGTATTTTCAATTTATAACAATATTTTTATGTTATATCCGTATTTATTATTTTATATATACTGTATAAATATTATTATATCTAGAAATGCATTTTCACGTGATAATGACTTTTTTATGACTGAACAAAATTTTACTCACTCGAAGAAATAAGAAAACCTAAAACGGATACGCTTAAAGAATTTTTTTAAAAACAAGAACTTGTTCTAAAACATTGAAAAAATGAACAAAGTTTATATTGAAAATATTATTTTTTTATTGGGATTCAATTCCATCTATTTATTTAGAGGAGTATGCAAATTTCATATGGAAATAAAAGATAAATTTAATTTAACTGCGGAAATATTGTCCTGATTGTTGTCGCGCCGCGTGTCGCGTATCATCAATAATAGTTCCGGACTTCCTCCGTATATTAAACAAGAATTTGATGAACAAAGAACCCAGAAATGAAAAAGACTTCAATAGATATATAAAAAACAATTCCTAAATATTCAAAGCATATAAAATTTAAAGTGGAATATTGAGAGTATTTTGTGTTATAAATATTGCAGAAGTCATTGACTCCACGATTGCTATTTTGGTCAATTAATATCTATCTTCCATATAATAATTGTATGTATAGCCCAATATATGCAAGAAAATATAAATTTGATATTAAATATATATATTATATCCGGGGATATTTAAAATATCATTTGATATTGAAAATCGCAATATAATATATATTGATATCAAAATATTTATAATATATACTATAAATAGCTTAGATTGCATATGTGACCTTCTGACCACATAGCTCGATCACAAAGAAGTCGTAGTCGATTTCATTATTCTGGTCATGGGAGAAAGTACGACCCTGATACCATATTGGGTAATTATAGAAATGGTCACTGTATCATTCTACGTCACGCCTATATCGATTTTGTCATTGATAATTAAAATCTCTTGCAGATGTCTTGCATATTAAATTGTTATATCAATCTAGCAATACTTAATGAATTAATTAAAATAAATGAAGAAGGTTTTTAGCAATAGTAACAATGGTCGGGGGAATTATAATTAAATTATTTATTATCCATTTATGTTATTTTAACAAAGCTATAAGTTCAAGATTAGGACATGAAATTAGTTCAGGATTTTGTTACTGTGCAGTATGTGCTAGAAAATATATCCGGGATACGGGATACTCCGTTTAATGCATTAATTTCATTTTCCACTAAAGAATATTTCTTCCAAATATGAATAATTCTCACCAATCTTATTACAAAACCAATATTGTAAATTTACTAAATAAAGGAAATACTAGTTTTTAATTTTTATTATTCGAGTACAAATTATATATGGAGATTCTTCGCTAAATTTTATTAATGCATTGTTTTAATAATATGTGAGGCGCCAACCAAAAAAGAAATTTTTTGCAATTGAGTAATTTATCCTAACTCTATTTCTAAATTGAATTTTTATCAATTAACAATATCAGGGAATTCTTTAAAATATTATTAGAAATAAATCGGAATTTCTTCATGCGTCGAATTTTGATAAACAAAAGTAACCATTTCTGGTGTGGTAAAACAGTCAAATTGGGGTGTTTTCTAAAAATTATAAATATTGGCTGGTGTGGCTTCTCCCAATCCTTCGCGTTCATTACAGTGTAAAATATCAAAGTATCAAAAAAGATAATGAGTCAACAGAGTCAAAAGAGTCAAAATTTCGTTTTCGTCAACTCAACTGATCCTGTGATGCAAAATAAAGTGATTCATGATGAACCGTTAATTAAACTTCCTTTTCCACCTACTATTAATCCACGCGATCTTATTACTTTTCCCAAAGGAAGTAATACTCCTTCTCGAGCTCCAAATGCTTTTATTATTTATCGTAAATTATTTATCCAAACTGCAAAAGAGAAAGGATATAGTCTTCCAATGACAGTAATTTCTACTATGGCCTCTAGATCTTGGGAACAAGAAACTGAAATTGTTAAGTCAGAATATAAAAGAATTGCAAAGGATGCATTCGATTATCGTAATGAAATTCTTCCTAAAAAAAAACGTGAAGGAAAAAAGAAGCCTTGGAATATTATCTCTTTTAAACAATCTGATAAACCAAAATCTAATGAAAAAACTGACCACGTTCAAAAAATTTTTACACCTATGACATCCCCTGAATTTTCTTCTGATTCACCAAACTTAGATTTTGACCCGTTTATTTATCCAAGTCCTGTAAATTTTACTAGTCCTGAAATAAGCGAATCAAATGAAATAAATGAATTGAGTGAAATAAATGAATTGAATGATGAAGAATTTGAATTTATTAACTCTCTATTGCAGACAGTTGATAATAATTCTTTAACACCAATTCAGTCCAGAGAAATTAATGATAACATTACAGAAAATAGATTTCTCAATGATTACATTACTCCAGAATCCACTATTACTACTGAAAACCAATATGGTCTTGGAATTTCGGATTTTGATAATTTCAATATAATTAATACTCCTGATTCATCAAACCATCAGTTTACTGATTTATCGAGCACAGAATTATTACCTGAAGAATTGAATACAAATAATACCATTTCTTTTGATGATTTTTGTTCTTCCTAAATATTTCCTCTAGGATTATGCATTTTATCAATAATGATTAAGGTCATATATTCGAATTTTATAAGCAAGCATCTATGCCAGAAATTTCATGATATTAAATTAAGCTAATAATATTTTACGCGTTTGATTTTTTATATTTTACACGTTCGATTTTTATATTTTACACGTTCGATTTTTTATATTTTACACGTTCGATTTTTTATATTTTACACGTTCGATTTCTTTATATTTTACACGCTCGATTTTTATATTTTACACGTTCGATTTTTATATTTTACGTGTTCGATTTTTTTCTATTTTACACATTCGATTTTTTTATTTTTTTATATTCTAGGCGTTCAATTTTTTTATATTTTACACGTTCAATTTTTTTAAGTAATATGCGCCAAATTATGGCATATAACCATTAAGATTTTAATAAAGTTATCACGTGAGATAAAGTAAAGTTTAACGGTTTAAAAAGAAAGTGCATTGTTTAATCCCAAATTTAGATTGACGTATTGTGTTAACACTACTAAAATATTAAAGTATAAACATAATAAATCTTTATTCTTAAATTTACATATCAAATATATATTTGATGAGTTTGGAACCAAAATCAGATTTGATGAGTATGGAACCAAATCTTTCTCACAAAATCTAAATCTATGAACATGGTGAAGAAGAAAACTGTATAAAAGAAAGAACTGTACGAGGTATTTTCATTTTCCATCAAAATCAAAAAAATTTTTTTTTTGATTTCAAATAATTATAATTTCCAAATAATTATAATTTCTAAGTTTCAAAAAATTAATTCAAAATATCTAAACAAATTTATCGATCCTTATAGAGAAAAATTATGTCATTTCTAAGTCGGGAATCTATGAGCAGCATCAAGGGTTAGATGCAATTTTAGAGGAGGTGAACAAGAACTTAAAAACTTTAATACCTCCTGTTCCGCAATATCATCACTGGATAATCGCTGCACGTAATTGTAAAAAGTTCCTTGAGGTAATTCCTTTATTCCAATTAAATTAATTAGTAAAATAAGTAAATATATTACTAACTTTAATTACAAAGTATTTAGCTTAGAAATAACTTTACTCAAAATAATTGGATATAATGATTATCAAACAATCGGACCAAGAACGCCATGGAATGCCAAAGATTTCGAACCTATTTACGAAGCCTTGAATTTGTTAATCGGAGTCTAGAAGAATATGAATTAAATGAAAATTTAAATTTTTACATATTTAGCAAAACAAGCTCGGCGAAAATTTATTACTGAAGCATTTATTAATAAAAACGATTCTCCTTTATTTAGGCCGATACAAGAAGAAGCGAAGGCTCAGGAAAGTGAAGAAAATATGACTAAGTCGGAAATTTTACTAATGATAGAAACCCTACTTGAACAGCTTGGTGAAAATACTCAGAAGAAATATTCTGGAATCAAGTCAAAAAAGCGAAGCGAATTGTTATGTATATTACAAGAGATAAAGCGTACATTTAATTCAGGTAATGAAATTATTAACGAAGATTGTTTAAAATGAATTTTTTTTTTATTTAGGAGCAATAGCAAAATAAATATATTTTAAGTTTTTAATTTTCAACCAATCATTTTTTGATTTGGAGTAAATCTAGAATGTTCCGATTTTCAAAATGTTTACTATAAATAGAAATGATATATTTGGAATATACCCTGACTGTAGTGTTGTACACCAAAAATAGGTATCGCAATAAGCTTATACTAATATAAATATTTAATTGATTCTCAATTCTCAAACGAAGCATTCACATTAAATATTCATATTAGAGGATTTTAGGTGTAACGAACAACCATATGGGCGATAACTCATGGGCAAAAATCTAAATAAGGAAATTTTTACTTATAAAAATTGCAGATCAGTTTCCTTTTTAGATTTTATGAATAGTAGTATTGTTTAAAATACTATAGTTAGATTTAACAAAGGTAAACGCGGAATATTTAAACACTGTGAATGTATGTGGATATATGTGGATATATGTGGATGTATGGGTAGGTAGGTGGATTTTTATTTTTTTTTTAGAAAAAAAAACAAAAAAAAAACAAAAAAAAAACAAAAAAAAAACAAAAAAAAAACAAAAAAAAAACAAAAAAAAAACAAAAAAAAAAAAAAAAAAAAAAAAAAAAAAAAAAAAAAAAAAAAAAAAAAAAAAAAAAAAAAAAAAAAAAAAA